TATCATACAATCGTAATTCAAGAAATTTGATGACACTCTTTGGGGCAATAAATGTTTACCAGATACAACCAACATTTTTTAATGAGCATAACAGATAAAAAGCATCACAGATAGGATCCTTGTCAATAATGTTTGTGTAGCAATATTGAAGCTTATTCTCTTTTGTTTCCAAGTTGCCGTGGATTGAGATAGTATAAAGAAACATTCCAAAGCACATTTCAACTCCTTCAATTCATGCAAGGTCAGCATATGTTTTCTAACTTCTTCTACGGCCAGACGAATCTTAGTAGGTGGATTAAGCCTCTTAGCAGTTTAGGATAATATAAGTGATAGCATGGAAATACATAAAGAAGCACTTGTCTATTGAAATTACATATGTTATTCAAGCGTGGTTGGAGCCATAGAAAGAGCAATGAGTGGGGCATGTCCTCGGGATAACTTAATTAATTGAGGTATACCACTGAAAAAAGCATGTGAGATTTAGCTTTAGGGATAAGGAACTTCTGGTGTTTCAGGAGTGGCGAGAACAGGTAAAGGGGAAAGGGCACAAATAAATGTAGTGTGAATGTTGAATTATATCTTATAAAACTTGAAACTTCATAATAAATATAATAAATCAATTGAACACATGAATGCACGGTACACATAAATCCCTTCGGGAGATTTTTTTTAGTGCGGCAACACATTAAGAATGAGACCAAGTTTCTGAATAATGATAGTTCTTGTAAAATGTTGTCTTTATCATTTGTGCATATGCAGTGTTTGCAATACATGCGGTAATGTTATCACAAACCTGCTAAAGATTCTGGTAGTATTTTTGGATATTGTTGAGTGTATATATTACAGAATTAATTGGCTCAAACCATTAGTTCCCATTAGTGAAATCTGTACAACAATTGATGACAGCCATTGGATTGATCAGCTAAGAGCAATTGTCCACGATATCATGCCAGCTTATTACAAAATTTATTCTCTAAATTCTGGTCTAACTGAAAGGCACACCTGGTGCAGTTGCCTTTCCTCTTCCACTTCGTTCTTTTCTCCTCTCTTTTCTTTTCTATTTCTATGGTTTTATACTATTGTTGGGGCAATAGCGTGGTGGCTATGCTTTTACTGGAATTCTCCATCTCCTTCCTACTTATTTTATTGTTTCTTTACTTGTTACACTGGAAATTAAAAACCGTGACAGGATCGACAAACCTGCAGTTGTATCATTATATATTTCCTGAATTCATATTTAAAATAAAGATTTTATGAAAAATAGGGAGATACAGGGGGGCGGGGCCGGACCGCCATGCTGACCGGTCGCATGCAGGAGAGGCTCCGGAGGCAAATCCTGCGGCTCTGATACCCACAAAGAGCCAAACAGACATGCACACGGTGGTTGACAAGGTGGCGGACCCCGATATCGGGAGTTTTGGGACCCTAAAGGGTTGAACAGAGCTTTGGGGACTGCGGCCTACTCGGGAGGGGAGCAGGGTAGATGGCCGCTGCCCTGTCTCCCCTCGCGGCAGCCACATGCTGACTACCTGAGACACCTGCCTGTCCCGTTTCCCCCGCTGTGGACTGGGGGGTTATCCCGGTCCCCACTGCGGAGAGCTCGGGAGGAGTGGAGACTGAGAGGCAAGGTACCCCCAAGACCTACCTTCCAAGATGGCGGCAGCGTAGAGCCTTACACCAATGACCCTTGCCTCATGCAGCCCCAGAGGGGAGAAGTAACCAACCTGCATAACCGCAAAGCCAGCCCAACAGTGAACCTGCTGTTAACCGCTGACGGGGAGAGCTCAGCAAGGTAAAAGCCACAGGCTTAAACAGCATTGCCAGCCACTAAACTAAACTAACCGAAATGCCTCACAACTGTGAAGGGGACTAAGCAAAGGGAACCCAGTAACACCTGCCAAGAACTGTGGGCCTTCAATACTTTGCCAACTCAGACCTGCTCTGCAAACCTTAATCGGACTTTAAGTCTCCAGCAGCGACCTTAAGGCACTCTATGTCACCACAGAGGCACACACAACAAGAGACATGCAGCGTTTGGGTTACCACTTACAGCCCCAGATCCAGACATCCCTCACATCCCCGGCAGCCATCTTTGGACTTTGTTACTGCTCTCACCTAACCACCTCTCCAGCATGGTCTTACACAGACATATGTATCTGTACAGCAGATTGCTCGACTCCAGTGGTCTTTATTATCAAATCTGTCTGATGCCAGCACAGAGACTCTAACAACCCCATGGATTCAACAGGGGGCAGCAGCTTCTCGTTTATCACTTCCCACCTAACATGCTTTGATATACACCGTAGCCATATTGTGATGCCTAACATTGTGATGCCTAACATTAATTTCTAATATTGCAGGAACCCACTCAGCTCCAATGGTTGCTTGTTTGTTTGTATAGCTTAATGAAGGCTGTAGAAGTGCGGCTGTTCATACGTATTTCTGCTGCCTTTGAAAGTCCACAATTACTTACTTAAGTAGTTTGAGGACTCTCGTCTACAGATAATTCCGGATCTAACTAAGAGCACACTCAGCTTGCGTAAGGGGCTACAACCGAGCCTGCAACACCTAAGAACACAAGACATCCAGTACCGCTGGGGTACACCGAGGCTCGTGACATTCACCTTTCAAGGGTCCGCATACCGGGCGAGAAGCCTACAGGAGTTGGACTCTCACCTGACACAGTTGGGCCTGATAATGCCGCAAGCTGAATACACGACTGCTCTGACCATGCTGGACCCCACCACAGTAAGGGAGATTGTGCCCAGATCACCCGACGCGCCAACTGAGCAGGCGGCACAACGTGAGAGAGAAACACAGGCAGGAAGAAACTCCAACCTATCGGATGCCACAGACCCCGCCGACACACTCAGTGTATACTATGCCTAAACTTGTCATATGTTTTGAAAGACATTATGCCAGCGTTTAAATTTTAGTTCTCACATATTTTTTTTCTTTTACTCTTTTACTTACGTATTTTTTATATATTTTTGTGTGATTGCTTGTCTGTTGCCCTAAATGGGATGGCCACCTGTCCTCAACCAAGCTAGAAAGCACCACAGTAACGCCCCATTAAACTCCCTTTCCCACATTAAAATCAGATGTAGAAGGGCACACACAGAATGATACCCTGAGCTAGAAACGTCCAACGAAAACACTGTTGCAGGTACCCCCCCCAGACTGTAAAGTTAATCTACTTCGGTGAATCCATAGAGGGGGCCACCCCTGATCCCTAGAGGTTCCAAGGGGTCATACTGATGTTTTAACACTCTGTTGACTAACATGCTCCTGTTAAAAAACAAAAAACCCACTCAGCGGGACACCATATCTCAGCCAGTGAAAATGTTTATTATATGTGACCGTTATGGGCAACAGCCCACATATTGTATTGTTCTTTTCTTTACTGCCTGCTGAGTGAACAAAATAAAGAATTAAAAAAAAAAAAAGTTGACAACCAAAGTTATTTTAGTTGCTGAACTTTTTTTAATCTAGCCATTTTGTCAACCATTCCCATGAAAACCAAAGATGATAATTTCTTGTACCTGTGAGGTTTTAATATGGTAGGGTGCAAGACTCTACCCATGGATTCTGACTTTATTTTCTGTCTCTGAAACTGCACTTCCTCATACCCTAATCTATTGGACTTTAACAAAAAACCATGTGAGTACACCTGTACGGTGTAGCAGTGTTTGTAATGTAGATTTCCAAGGTTCATTAATTTGCTAAAATGTAAAAAGTTTTTTGTTTTTTTTCTCCAGTTGTATGGATAGAGATTTTATGTCTGGAACACATTAATGCTAATGTAAATTTCCTGATAGCACATCATTTTCTTATGTGTAATACCTCTAAGTTCTCTGTACAAGGTATTGGCAGGATTGCCAAACTATAGATGGGCGGGGATTGTAGATCCTAATGGAGTTCAAATGGATCCTATTGTGAGGTCAAATGGATTTTTAAGCTACACACTCGTAGTGAGTTTGATGTACCCAATTATTTTTTTAAAATTCTTTATTTTTGCAGTGCATAAAAAAAAGGAACATGCCAGTATATGGTAAATTGTAAGAAACAAATATTGGTTGCAAGACAAATCAGTAAAACAGTAAATCAGAAAATACAGTGCACTTTTTTTAATTAAAGACAAACTATGAAACTTAGTAGTTTTAGTTTAGTATCTAGTGTTGTTGTGAGGCTAGTTATGGCTTGCTTGTTAGTTGAGCATTGTCTTATAGTTTAAGTAACACCCCACGCTCCTGTGCGGCGTGACTAAGAGAATGTGGATCGAGAGGGTAAAGATAGCTTAGATAGCTAATAGTGTGTTGACATGTGAGTTGTCTCGTACTGATGGGGTCTAGTTGGGAGACCTTCAGAGTGGGTCGGTGGTGTGTGCCCCTACCTAGTGTCTAGGTTGCTGGGGCAGGGTGTGTGGGATTGAATAAAACATTTTGTTCAGCCTACAATTTCCGACCCCTAACCAAAGTGGGAGAGGGAGGGGGAGACTAAGAAGCTCGGACTGGAGCCATTGGTAAGAGAGGTGAGGCCCACTAACAAGGTACCTTTTGTCATAAACAAAAGCATTAGGTGCAAGATGACACTGTCGCTGCTATAAGACTCATGTAACTGCTTCCTTTCTCCTGTCTCTTCATGGGATGAATGGGACAGTCCTGCTAGGGTCCCAAGTGTGTGATGATGGTGGTGTTGTAGGGGTTGTAGCCTCCTGTGCTAGGCCCAGCAATTGGAGGAAGGATGGAGCCTCAGATACTGAGGTTAGTTTCAGAATGCCATTGTCCCGAGTAACCACTAGGATCCTAGGCTGGAGCCATCTGTATTCCACTTTCGCTTTGTGGAGTTGGGTGGTGAGTTGCGTCAGCGATTTTAGTGTCTTGAATCCCCAGGAATGCAATGGTTTTCTGTCTGCTGCAGTCCTCTATGGTGTCCAGTTTAGTTTGGACTACTGTATTAGCAGATTGCAAGTGGCGGAGGGTGTCCCCCATACTGTTCACCTCTTGGCATAAGTCCATGATGTCGTCTTCCGTGGCCTGAACTCTTGTGGTCCCAGCTTGTATCTCTGTCCGGGCCAAGTTTATGTCAGAGTCAAACATTTGTTTTATCTCCAGGAGCAATTGCCGGATGTCATGTTTAGTGGCCGGGGCCAGATCATCACCCTTGGCTTGCGGTAAATGTGGTGATTGGGACTGCTTATATTCCCCCTGGTCCTCCGGACTCATCGCTGAGCAGTTGGAGCTGGTTTCTGGGTCGGGTCCCGATATCTTGGGTGTCTTTGGGTGCTCCCGCTGGCTGTTTTTGGGTTCTTCTCCCCATTTCATCATCGGCAGGTAGTGGCTGCTCGCTTGTGGGTGGTGTCTGATATGCGAGGTCTTGGAGTAGCTTCCACGAAAGCCTTGAGGCCTCTGCTGGTAGGGGGGCAAGGTATAAGGGCGAATAAGAAGGGCATCAGAAGTTGGCCCCTTGTCTCTGGGAGGTTTGGTACTATGCTCGCCTGACTGGGACCCAGTGGGACCCTGGATAGCTTTAGATTAGCTGTTGACCTGTAGGAGAGATGGTGTCCATGCTGCTCGGTGGTTAAGCTCTGCCCCTGTACCCAATAATTTTTAAATACTTATTATTATTATTTTAAATTATTTTTTTCAGCAGAATCATTAATACGTGTTTCATTATAGACAAATGACAAATCGGTTAAAGACCTGATAAACCCATGACAACATGTACCGACATACTGACAATCTTCACTTATCTCTTTGGTATCTTATCTCTTTCGATTAATAAAACAAAAGTAACAGAGAATTCATTCGTTATAGCTCATGAAAATTTAGTTTATTTAACTTGACAGGTGTCACATCTCAAATATATTTTTATTTTCTTATTGAACTAATTCCTCAGTTTGGTGGTTTGCTTGGGTTGTTTTGTTTTCTCCCCTTTACTTGTCTGTAGGGGGTTAATCTTGCCCCCAATTAACTAATAGGTTAAATGTTTAAATATCCCGGCAGTATGTCAGCAGACTATGCCTAAGATTAAGTGCCATGCGTCATGAAACGGGTTAGGCGGCTGACTTGCGAACATGTTTCTTTTTAAATGGCTCTAGACAAAGTTCACTATACATATTTGCAAATAAACGTTACATTTTAGTGAATTAACAAACCTTGGACAATCTTCATAAAAATACTCCAATGCCATGGAACAGTGTTAGCAGGCGCATCCACACTTCTGCTTCATTTATATCATTGAGCCTAACCCTCTGTACTCTTAGAGCCGGGCACCACTGCTCTTGAATGGGTCAGCATTTTTCTATTCATGTGTGCGTTTTTTTCTAACTCTATAATTACCTTTTGGCTTTTTGCAGCAGTCTTATTTAACCCCTTAAGGACACAATTTCTGGAATAAAAGGGAATCATGACGGAAGATTTCCGTCATCTGTCCTTAAAGAGTTAAACTGCAGGATTTATTTTTCTGGAGCCCTTCTGTGTTAATAATTTTTTTTTAAAATCTTTGTTTGTTACTTTGTTTAACCACTTGAGTGCCAGAGATATAACCAGCACTTTGCTAAGAAAGGTGTGTATCAGTCATCAGGTATTGAAATAATTTAAAATATATTGCAAATTATGTATAGCTCAGTATTCAGGAAACTGATTAGACGAGTTGCACTATTCCAGCTATGATACAATAAATTGTGCTAAACACTAAATAATTGATATTATCATAATGGAATCCAATTAAATAAAAATAAAACCTGACAGGTCAAAATAAAGAAGTTACATCAGTTTGTTTATGCAGCCCTAGCTACACTTTCCTTGGCTGTGACTCATACAGCCTCCCACACACTTAATGAAAAAGATGTCAACTTTTTAAACTTCCCTTATTGTACAGTGTGTTTAATTTAGATATCCGTATCCTGCTCTGTTAATTAAGTGCTAGCAGGAAATAAAAACTTCAAAAGTTTGACTACTTTGGCTTTTCTTGTGAAAGTCACTATTCATTCCTGACAATTCTCATTTTAGTAAATAATTCTGAAAGTGTATGGATATGCTGTCTAAAGTAGTTATTTCTTTATACATGTTAAAATCAATAACAAGGAGAAGAATGCCTAATAGTGGAAAATAAAATGACTAAAACTTTTTACATCTATTTTTTTTCAACCAAAATATAACAATATACAATAGTCAACTTCTTTATGCTGATCAGGTCCAATTATCCAATCTTCGCATTCTGTAATGTTGAGACATTCATATTTGTGTCTTTTTTTTCCTTTTGCATCAAGACTGTAGAAATGTATAAATACTGATTAAAGTGTCTTATTTTCTATCTGCTAAGCAAGCTGTAGATTCTCATATGAACAATAGATGTATTCCATTGTACATTCAGTATAATTTTTCAGAATAGTATTTTTTGTTCAAGTTGTGACCAATTGAGAAGTATAGGACATTCACATTTATATTCCATTATTATCCATTTTGTTTAAAATATTATCTGTAGATACAAGAGCGTGTCTATAATGTAGGCTGCTTATAATATTCACTCTGAAAAAAAACATCCCCGTTTGGTCACGTCATTTTAATGAATAACATACATTGTTTTGCATAATTACATAATCTTTATAATAGTTCATGAGCTGTTAGTCCACCCATTGTACAGCACTACAGAATCTAATGGCGATATATATATAATAATATAATAATAATAATGAGCAATTCATATATATAATTAATGAATATTGCTGTGCAATTATAACAAACCATTGCTTGCACTTTATAATCTTATTTAATTATAAGTTATTAACAAAAATTAAGAATCTGAAGAGTATTAAAAATGGCTAGTTATTCTATAGAAATATTAAAATGTCAAAGTTAATACAAATCCGACGGTCATATTTGGTAAGGAGTGATATGGTCAAGCTTTTGTGTTCACTAAGCCCCAAATTATTAACTCATCATCATTGTCCTTTCCATTCTCTCAACCAATGTGTGGTGGGATGAGTGTAAATTTAACAAAGTGGGGGCTACAGCTGATCCTGGTTTAATGCTCACTCCATTAAGAGTGTGGAAAGTAATGCTTATTTAGGAAATGTGGGTCCTCAATATAATATAGCTAATATATCCATTAATTGAAATGTAATGCCCCAGTACAAAGCATGCTCATGCTAAAAGCACATTATGAAGAAGATAATGTCCTCCTTGGCACAAGGTGAACCTAACCCATCATGCTAAGTTCCAGGTATGTGCCATATCCCCACCATAAAGAGTGTAGATATCCAATTTAAAATCATACCAAGGTAATCATACCTTGCAAATAGATACATGTGGTTATTTTAGAATGTCTTCAGTATTTTTCCTATAATAAAATAATATAAAACATGATATTTTAATGCTTACTAATTACCAGCAGTGTCAAATTCTAGACACACTTCTAGCACTGAACATGGGTGACTGGGCATAATTTGTGCCTCTAACATGGGTGACTGGCAATTAGACATGTGCAATTAGTTTCGTTCTGAATGTAAATTCGGACGAATTTCGTCAATTTGGACATTCGAATGCTTCCAAATGTCCGAATTTCCGAACCGAACCGAATCGCCGAAGTGCCGAAGTGCTTCGGATTTCTGAAAAGTGGAAAAAACAGGAAAGGGAAGGAATATTATGGGAATGATGAGAGGAATCTAACACTACCACTAACCCAAACCCTACCCCTACACCTAACCCTACCCCTAACTCTACCCCTAAGCCTACCCCTAACCCCTAACCCTACTCCTACCCCTAACCCTACCCCTACCCATAACACAACCCCTAACCTCAACCCTAGGATTAGGATTATGGGTTAGGTGTAGGGGTAGGGTTATGGGTTAGGTGTAGGGGTAGGGTTAGAGGTAGGGTTAGGGCTAGGTTTAGGGGCTAGAGATAGGGTTAGGGGTAGAGGAGGGGTTCAGGTTAGGGCTAGGGTTAGGGGTATGGTTAGGGAATTGCCAAAGTCCCAAATTGGCGAAGTCCCGAATTGCCGAACCGTGCCAAAGTGCCGAATTGGCGAAGTCACGAATTTCCGAAGTGCCGAACCAAATTTTTTGCCCATGCACAACCCTACTGGTAATGCTTAGTGCCTCTTATTCTGTACTTTCTAAGGGCAGAGTCTAATTATTCACCAGTGATCCCTGTCCTAATTGCAGCTCTCATGTCCCATGGACCAATTTCTGCTCATTTTCCTAACTCCACATCGATCAATTTATCTGGTATGAGAAAACAAGGATGAGACACCCTCTTTTGATTTTCAGGGTCCAAGTTATTTACACCCCTTCTCAATTTACAATAATTCCTCAAAAGGTACAAGTGTCTTGATGCTATTTTATTTAGTACTGGTTGTCCACAACAAGAGGACATAGTCTTAAATTAGAGGGACAAAGGTTTAAAAATAATATCAGGAAGTATTACTTTACTGAGAGGGTAGTGGATGCATGGAATAGCCTTCCAGCTGAAGTTGTAGAGGTTAACACAGTGAAGGTGTTTAAGCATGCGTGGGATAGGCATAAGGCTATCCTAACTATAAGATAAGGCCGGGGACTAATGAAAGTATTTAGAAAATTGGGCAGACTAGATGGGCCGAATGGTTCATATCTGCCATCACATTCTACGTTTCTATGTTTCTATTTATAAAGCGCCAACATATTCCGCAGCGCTGTACAATTAGGGGAGAACATACAATATACACAGACAAATATAAAAGGTTCAGATCTAGCCATGGAAGCTCTTCTATACAAAGTGCTTAGCTAGACAATATAATTGTGAAATCTCAAGAGTTAACAAATGGAAGTCCCAGAATTATCCTCTGAATTCATCTTGCTTGATGAATTTGATGGCAATTCATCTATAATGTGTCTATTGATAAATAACTAAAATACTAGCTTTTATTGCAACTTGTCTTACTTTTTCATCAAACTCAAAAGTAAAAAAAATGAATATACATTAAAAAAAAAATTAGGACAAGTCCTTGCTAAATGCAAAAAAAATATTTTACTGAATAACTTATTCTTGTATTTTTTTTTTTTTGCTCAATTATATATTTCATGGAATACATTGAAAGATATCTTTAGTGAAATGTGTGTTACAAGAGAAATCAGTCAATGTAATAAAATACTTCTAAATTGAGAATATTGTACTCTGAAATATATTATTTGAATTGCTATGAGATCTGCTGACAAAGTACAAAATATACAATATTAACAAATAATTAGTATTGACTCTTTCTTAAGCAATAGAGGGAATTAAAATATAGTGAGTTGTTGGTACATGTTATTACTACATAAATATACTCACAATTAGAACTATTT